ATGGCCATCTGTTAGCTTACCAGTTTCTAGTAATACGTCATTTGCCATATTTGTGATTTTCTTTGAACCCGCATTTTAAAAATTTCCCTCGCTCGCAAATGAATATTCAGACTATCAAACCCAACTGCAAAGTATATTGCTTAAGCAATATCTTGTATGATGTATAAAGAGCATGATCATCCCTCATAACATAATCACAATGTAGGGGTATATACCAATGTCTAAAAAATTGTATTTTCGCTTTGAGATTTCGCTTGTATAAGGTGCCCTTTTTTTGTTGGTGTCCCCCTACTTTGGAAGACGCTCCGCCGCCCCTGCTTCAGATCATTATGTTTCTCCTTCTAATTCTTGCTCTTTATCATGTTGAACTTGTTCAATGTAGATGTAAAACGAGCTTATTTTATTGCCAAATTGAAATCACGTGATCAGACTCCCGTTAATCAAACTCGGTATAACTCGCCCTACTCGTGCAAACATCGTGATTAGCTCACCAGAGACTCGGTGCGCTCGTGCAGAACTCTCAAATGCTCGCATTAGACTCGCGGGAACTCGTGTATGGAAATTTACGGTAATTTATGGAAATTTATTCCGGATACTACGAGTTGAAAAGAGTCCATGACGAGTTTTTCACGAGTATGGCGAGTTAACTACGAGTTGTTACGATTTTGACCAAGGTGTTCAGGAGTTCTCGAGAGCTTGAACAAGTTTTAAACTGTTTGAAAAATTTGAGAGCTAACTGCGACCTCACGCGAATTGAATTGAGTTGCGATGAGTTGTGAAGAGTTGTTCCGGGTTGCGGCGAGTTACGGAGAGTCATCCCGAGTTAAATTAAGAGTTATCGCGAGTACCCCTAAAAGTCAACTCGCCACTATTCGCGCAAACTCGTACTTCCAACTCGCCCACGTGTGAACGTAGCATTAGGCAATACTTGTTACCTGATAACTTGGTCATATGGACTACCGTTAAATTAGTTAAAATCATGAAGTTCTCACAATTATTGGTTCTTAAAGGAAAACTAACCCCAAAGAATAAGTGTATATATTCTGAAAACCGAGATGAATTCCTGCCCCTTGATGTACAATAAATCTTACGAACGTATACAAGAGATATATAAATGAAGATTTCTTGGTATGCCTTTTGCAGCCATTTTCTTGAAAATGTGACGTACCAGGCGGAGCTGTACATGTATTATGCACCAAGCTTTAATTGGAAAGACTTTTTGATTCAATAACAAAACCTTTACTTCTCAATGAGGGAAATTCATAGCCAAGAACGTAAGAATTACATTTGGCGAAAAATATATAATAGGGTAACAATTGTAACTCACTTATTAAAAAAAATATAGCGGTTGATAAATCAATTTAATTTATGCGAAACGTTCACTCCAGAACAGCACGAACTTATTTATGCAATTTGCGTTCTGTCAATTGGAGTACAAAGGATAATAGCAGGTGAATGAAACGCCACAAACACCTGGGAAGGAAGCATCCATAAATTTAAAAACATTTAGTTGATAAACGACTTGGCATAGTACGTCATGCAATCAAGAAAATGGCGATGCCCATGTCTTGCTGAGAAACTGTACTTTATTCTTGCTTTATGCCTTTCTCATACATGAATCTTTTAGATTGATGGGCAAGAATGCAATAAATCTCCTAGAACCACTAAAGTTACTCTTTGGGGTTAGTTCTCCTTTAATGCGTTGTAAACGAAAAAACAGAAATTATGTATTTACTGTTACAAGCTATTAGTTGAGGAATACATTACAAATATTTTTCAATTGATCATTTTTTTTAATTAATTGCTATAGATTAATTACTTTTATCAATAAATCGAAGAAATAAACACCGAGATATATGTTTTCATTTTTCATAGAAGCCATATTATAATCTAACATTTCTACATTACCCAATAGAGATAGCCATTTGTCTATAATAGGCAATGACGATAATAATATCCTAATTTATGTAATACATGTGTGGTAAAAAGTGATTTTTAAGATTCATATATATTTTTAATTCCATTTTACATTTAGTAAAAAGGGAGCATCATTCTCCTTAAATGAGCACGTAATGGTTTCTACTTCACGATACTATTCAGAAAAGGGCAAAATTCTTATATCTCCATCTGATGAGAGGGAGATATATTAAGAAATTGCCAAGAAAATTCAATAAGTGATAATAACAAGAAAATAGTCTATAAGAAAAACATTGACAGGGGCTGAGAAAACAAAGACAGCGAGCTTGAGAGAGAATGAGAGAGAGAGAGAGTGTGTGTGTGTGAGAGAGAGAGAGCATAGAAAAGCATAAGTAAGAAAGAGAGAAAAGACTTACAGAAAGAGATGGGAGGACAAGAGCAAACAGAGACAGCTATGTAAGTTGAGTTTAATATAGAGAGACGAACTCAATCCTAATAGAGACAAAGAAGTACTCTCATATTCCTCACAAATGTCAGTGTGAGGATCGATTACTAAAGCAGGGCTCCCACTTAGCCGAGTTGTGGCGAGCTGGTGCGAGCTTATGGCAAGCTGTTTTATCATTAAAACATATTTCTTGATAGCAAGAACTCAATTCTTGATATCACGAAATCGAATTCTTGATATCAAGAATTACCATTGCTTTACAACGTAAAATTATTTCTTGATATAAAGCATTGATTTCTTGATATTTTTTAATGATAAAACGGCTTGCCATAAGCTCGCGCTAGCTCCCCACAACTCGAGGCTCCAACTCGGCTAAGTGGGAGCCCTGCTTTATACTGGCACTTAGTAATTGAGAAATAACAGTGGAATACCATAACAAAAATTATTGCATTAATGATGTAAATCCTTGATTTCACATCAGCTGGAAAAACAGAGTTCTAGCTCAAGAGGGCCATTTTTCTGATGGGGGAGGGGCTGGCATCAAGCATCTCACACAGAAGACATAGCTGGCTTGCTTATACTTGTAGGGAAACCATAGTGACGAAATGCAGAACACAGGCAGATATACAGACCTACTGAAAAGGCTTTTATTTTTAAAAACAAGTGTTGCTTTTCGTTGAGTCTTTAGTTTCGATCTTTGTTTTGTTTGTTTCTGTTTTAGGTATTTATTATTATTATTTTATTTTTTTTTACAAACGGGTAAAAACCAGGGACACATTAATAGAAAAGAGGGAAATTTTATTTTAGGAAGGAAATTTTCCTATCGCAGGACGGCATTTGTTCACTTCGAAGGAGGCAATTATTGTAGGAGGAAGGGCACATGTCTCGATTTCGAAAATTTTTGGATGATGTATGAAAACCTGTCTTTTGTAACGCCGCCCCTGTCGGAATGATACGCATTTCTATATTCACATTTATATTTTCTAAAAGAATTGTTGGTCTTTGCATTATACCCGATTTCACTTTGACCATTGTCATCTAAATTGAATCGAAGAATAAAGCTGTCATCACGAAAAAATAATCTGTAGTTCCAAAGAAAAATTGTAGAATGTCTCAAATGAATGAAAGTGAGGATCGGTTAAATTTATATAATCATGACACAGAAGTCCATTCAATTCAAATGATTCACTTTCCTGATTGTCAGCATGGTCAGACTATTGTTTTATAATGAGTGTGATTTTGACTAATGCCCAAACATTTTTTAGAAAAAAGTGCGAAATAGCATTATGTTTAGTTTGGAGAATGCAATATAATTTATATGAAAGAAATAGTTTCCAGTACAACGGAGAGAAAGGGGTGGGAGAGAGAGAGAGAGAAAGACGGGAGGAAGAGAAAGAGAGAAGAGAGAGACTGAGTAAACCAAGGGACATTGCTGTGGTATGAGCGAAATAAATACGAGATGAAAAAAGACAAACAAATGTATTGAATAGTTATAAAGGACACCGTGTCTTGTCAAGCAAAATAAAATGTTATGTCTGTCTATCTATATTGTGCATGTAATATATTATTACAATACAAGGGGGAGAGAGCGGGTGGGAGGTTGTGTGATTAAATAACAGTAAACGGGGGCGAAGAAAGATTACTCCACTGATGGTTAGTTTTAAGAATGCAGAAATATTTGGAAAAAATTGTTTCCAAAAAAAAAATCGTGTCCGGTATGCCTTTGATTTTGATGACTCAGTGGCCATCGTTGAGTAGAACTCATCACTCAGCTTCACATCGTCCAACTTCAGTGATCGAAGATTTGGCAAGAAGCAGAGACCTCTCGCGTAATGAGAAGATGCAGCAGAACCCAGATTTGCATGTTTGTGATTTAGCTCCTCAATCTGGTGATGTGACAAGACATGTTGAATAGAGTTAATAGTGTTATCAAGTATAGACGAAATGTATAATTTAAATATTGTTCATTTTCATTAATGGAACATCATTAGCCTCTACTTAGACTTTTAAAGTTAGGAAAAGAGAAAAGGAGAGATAGAAAGAGAGACAGACAGAGACAGAGAAATAAAGATAGAGATAGATAGAGATAGGGTCTAAAAAGCCCAAGGGAAATGGATGTGGTAAGAGCAAGGAAAGACGAGATGAAGAAAGTCAAATGTGATTAATTATGAATAGTTGGGAAAGAAAGAGAGTATCTGTTCAAGTAGAATAAAGATGCTATTTCTTCCTATCTGCAGTGCATATGTAATATCTCCTTGAGACTATAGACAAACTATAAATAATTTCTCAAAACAAAAGTGTTTTTTTTTTTATACGATACGGGCTTTAAATATGCGCATTTAAATGAATTTATTATATTACGACATTAAAATCCAGTCTATTAACATGACTCATGCTTCTTATTATCAGTATTTTAAGAGCAATATGTTGATATGAGCATAATAGTGACTAATGACAATAGTTATTTCTGTTTTGTTTTTAGTGTGAAAAGTATATATCACCATATGTTCAGTTTGAAGATTGCAAAACTATTGGGGAAGGAAAAAAAATCCTTTCCAGTAAAAATCATGTTTGGGTAAACCTTTGATTTTGATGCCTCACAGGCCATCGTTGAGTAGAACTCATCACTCAGCCCCACATCGTACAGCTTCAGTGATCGAAGATTAGGCATGAAGCAGAGACCTCTCGCGTAATGAGAGGATGCAACAGAACCTAGATCCGCGTACCCGTGCGTTAGCTTCTCAATCTGGTGACGTGACAGGACAGGTTGAATAGAGTGAATAGTATTATCAAGTATATACGACAGGTCTAATTTAAATATTTTTCATGGTCATTAATGTAACATCATTAACCTCTACGTAGACTTTTAAAGCAAGGAAAGAGAAAATGAGAGAGAGAAAGAGACTGACAGAGAAAGAGACAGATAGAGAGAAAAAAAGGCCCAAAAGAAATGGATGTGGTAAGAGAAGAGAATGACGAGATGAAGAAAGACAAACAAATGTGATCTATTATAGATGGTTGGAAAAGAGAGACTGTGTCTGTTGAAGCAGAATAAAAGCGTTATATCTGTCTATTTACAATGCACTTGTAAAATTAATTTCTTGCGACTATTGGCGAAATTTAAATATTTTCTAAAAATGTAATGCGAAATGTATTTGTAGGATACGTGTTTAAAAACTGCGCATGTATATAAGTTTATATCATTACGACATTAAAATCCACTTTATTAACATGACTCATCTTATTATCAGTAAAATAAGAGTATAATGTTGATATGAGCATAATAAAGAATAATGACAACAAAAATTTCTTTTCTTCAATGCGAACAAAAACATTTATCCACATATGCTCAGTTTGAAGATTGCAAAACTATTAGGGAGAAAGTCGTTTCCAATACAAATCGTGTTTGGATGTACCTTTGATTTGGATACCTCTGAGGCCATCGTCGAGTAGAACTCATCACTCAGCTTTACACTGGTCAGACCCAGTGATCGAAGAGTAGGCATGAAGCAGAGGCCTGTCGGAGCAGAACCCAGATCCATGTACCCGAGCGTTAGCTTCTCAATCTGTGACAGGACAGGTTGGATGTAGTGAATAGTAATATCGTATAGACGACATGTCTAATTTAAATATGTTTCATTGTCATTAATATGACATCATTAACCTCTACTTAGACTTTTAAAGCAAGGGAAAGTGAAAAGGAGAGAGAGAAAGAGAGAGAGAGAGAGAGACAGAGACAGAGACAGATAGAGACAGATTGAGGGGAAAAGGCCCAAAAGGAAATATATGTGGTAAGAGAAGAGAAGAAACAATGAAAACAAATGATTTTTTTTTATTTGTAAAAACAGTGACCCCATAAGTTGAGTTTGAAGAATGCAAAACTATTAAGAAAAAAAGATCGTTTCCAATACAAATCATGTTTTGGTATACCTTTGATTTTGATGACTCAGAGGCCATCGTTAAGTAGAACTTATCACTTAGCATCATCTTGGTTAGCATCAGTGATCGAAGATTTGGCATGGAGCAGAGACCTCTCGCGTAATGAGAGGATGCAGCAGAACCCAGATCTGCGTTGAATTGATTGAGCTCCTCAATCTGGTGAGGTAACAGGACATATTAAATAGAGTGAATAGTATTATCAAAGTTAGACCACATGTGTAATCTAAATATCATTCATTTTCATTAAATGGAACATCATTAACCTCTACTTAGACTTTTAAAGCTAGGGAGAGAGAAAAAGATATATACACTGTTGGTCATAATGGTGGAATATTTATTTTTACCCCAGTTTAGGGAAGGATTTTTAAAAATTATTTATTTCTAATAGATCTAGATAATGGCATACATTCTCAGATTTTATTGAATATTAATTTGCGAGTGTTTGTTTTGCGTGACTGCTTAATCATATGTGTGCCACTATGCTAGTCAGCTAAGGGACCTACGTCCTTAAGTCATAATTGACAGTAATGAGGATTAATGCCTCACAAAAGGGCACTAATATATAGCTGATCGACACGATTTTTATCCGGGGGCCTCACAATAACGAGGCCATTGCTTAGCCCCTGAATCACGACTGTACGCAGTGTTTGCTAGGGTACGCGGCTGCCCCCACAAATCCCCCAAAACGAAGAAAATGCGATAAATTGTCAAAAATTCATTGCATTTTCCCCCGGCCCCCAACAGGAAAAATTCCTATGTATGGCCATGCCTTGAACCATAATGCATGGCCCTACAGAGGAATTTTTCCTGTTGGGGGCCGGGGGAAAATGCAATGAATTTTTGACAATTTATCGCATTTTCTTCGTTTTGGGGGATTTGTGGGGGCGGCCGCGTACCCTAGCAAACACTGCGTACAGTCATGATTCAGGGGCTAAGCAATGGCCTCGTTACTCTGAGGCCCCAGGATAAAAATCGTGTCGATCAGCTATATAAGGGCCCTTTTGTGAGGCATTAATCCTCATTACTGTCAATTGTGATTTAAGGACGTAGGTTCCCTAGCTGATTAGCATAGTAGCACACATATGATTTAGCAGTCACGCAAAACAAACCCTCTCACATTAATATTCAATAAAATCTGAGAATGTATGCAATTATCTAGATCTATTAGAAATAAATAATTTTTAAAAATCCTTCCCTAAACTGGGGTAAAAATAATTATTCCACCATTATGACCAACAGTGTAGAAAGAGATTCACAGACAGAGACAGAGAAATAAAGATAGAGATAGATAGAGAGAGGGGCTAAAAAGCCCAAGGGAAATGGGTGTGGTAAGAGCAATGAGAGGCGAGATGAAGAAAGTAAAATGTAATGAATTATGAATAGTTGGAAAAGAAAGAGAGTGTCCGTTCAAGCAAAATAAAGATGTTATTTCTTTCTTTTTACAGTGTAAATATAATATCTTCTTGAGACTATTGACAAACTATAAATTGTTTCTTAAACAAAATGCAAATTCTATTTATAGGATACATGCTTTAAAAATGTGCATTTATATGAATTTATATCATTATGACATTAAAATCCACTTTAATCTATTCGCATGACTCATGCTTCTTATTATCAGTATTGTAAGAGTATTATATTGATATGAGCATAATAGTGACTAATGACAATAAATGATTTCTGTTTTTTTTTTAATGTGAAAAATATTTATCACTATATGTTCAGTTTGAAGATTGCAAAACTATTGGGGAAAAAAAATCGTTTCCAATACAAATCTTGTTTTGGTATACCTTTGAGTTTGATGCCTCACAGGCCATCGTTGAGTAGAACTCATCACTGAGCTCCGCATTGCGTAGCTTCAGTGATCGAAGATTAGGCATTAAGCAGAGACCTCTCGCATAATGAGAGGATGCAACAGAACCTAGATTCGCGTACTCGTGCGTTAGCTCTTCAATCTGGTAATATAACAGGACATGTTGAATAGAGTGAATAGTTATATCAAGTATATATATAGACGACATGTCTAATTTAAATATTTTTCATTGTCATTAATGTAACATCATTATCTGTTACTTAGAGAAGGGAGAGAGAGAGAGAGACCGGGACAGAGACAGAGACATAATGAGAGACAGAGGGAGCAAGAGAGAACAAACCCAAGGGAAATGAGTGTGGTATAAATAAGAGCAAAGAAAGACGAGATGAAGAAAGACAAATATGTTTGTAATAATAATTATAGATAGTTGGAAAAGAGAGGTTGTGTCTGTTCAAGCAGAATACAAATGTTATATCTGTGTATTTACAATGAACATATAATTGATTTCGAGAAACTATTGACAAAATGTAAATAATTTCTAGAAATAAAAATGCGAGTTACTAATAATAGGATACGTACTTTTAAAACACACATTTATATGAATATATGACTTTTTCACAATAAAGCCCAGTAATTTCACATGATTTATTTTTCTCGTTGTCAGCATGGTCAGACTATCATATTGATTTCAAGCGTGCTTTTGTGATTTTATTTACGCTTTTAGATCCGAGAGGTAGTACGTTGTGACAGGACAGGTTGAATAAAGTGAATAGTAATGTCAACGTGTTTAATTGAAGTATTACTTATGTTCAGTACTGTAACATCATGATGGTACGTCATCGATATATATATATATATATATATGTATATATATACCTTAATAGACTATGATGGGCTTTTTTAAAGCTAGATTGTAAGGAACACACAGAATTAGTAAACTGAATATTTTGTAGAAGACTAACATGGTGTAAAAGGAAAACAGAGTAAAACGGATCATAGAATCTCATTATTTTCCTTTAATCAAAGGTTACTTATTGCATGCTATTTTAATTTTTCTTCACCTTTTTCAAAAAGAAAGATAAAAAAGTGTGTTCCTACATTTAAGTATAACAACGCAATAATATAAACAGATATCAGTTAGATATAGGATAACAGAAGAGAATAATGTGCGAGACGATGAAATATTACTAAAAGATGAGGTGAGTTTATTGATAATTGATGATCTTTCCATAATTGCTCTATTGTCATATGCCATATGAAAAATAGAACAAACTGATGCAAGATAATCAATAGTTCCTACTTAGCATTTTCTTGCATAAAGCATGGACACACGGAACAATTAGAGAAGTGAGGAAAATAAAGCAATATGATAGGATCGTGAAAATGGCCGAGAGAGAGAGAGAGAGAGAGAGAGAAAGATAGAGAGGGGGTGTGGCAAGAGCTAAGAAAGAACGATGATGTGAGAATGTGATGAGATTAATACACATGACGCCAATACAATTGATAAAATATACATATATTAGCAAGTGTAGTTTATGGAGCACATGTTGAGGACGATGGAGCACATCTCCAAGGCGATGTACAGATTGACACATAATGATTAACATGAGTCAGAAATAAATTTGTAACATCAATGCTTTCTCTGACGAGTTATTTTGGTGGCAAATTTATACACAAAGAGAGTTTCAATACAAACAATTACAAGGGGTTGTACTATACGAAAAGAGAGCTCTTTAAATTTGGTTTTGAGCTGACCATTTTTGTTCCTTTTGTAGACAAGAAGTAGAGACATACCAACATTTATTATTAGATTGTCTTAAAGTTAAAAGATCATGGCAGGAGGTAATTCAAAAGTTACATTTAATCGAAATTGACAGTGATGATTGGAAACCCATTTTTATGGGAATATCCGGCAATACTGCTAGAATATTTGTAATTAATTGTATCATATTTCTAGTAAAGTATATCATTTTTATTTCTAGAAATAAAAAGGAACTCTGCCATCTGTACAGAAAGTAGTACATAAAAATATGCTTAAAGATTACAGAGACGAGGAATACAAAATATAGCCTTCAAAAAGGGGAAACTGGGGATGCACTTACAGAAATGGGAACAAATCAGTGCATTTTTACTTTAATGGATGTGGGTATTATTATTATTATTATTATTATTATCATTATTATTAATTCTCTCTCTTGTACAGGTGGCCAAACCGGAACAGGTTGCATGCAGTGTGTGTGTCGGCGTGAAGGGGGTGTGAGGTGGGAGGGCTAGAGGGGGGGGGGGGGGTGAAGAGTTTGTGTGGTGTGAGTTGAGGGTGTGCGAGTGTGTGATCGGGTCGGGCTAGGTAAAATTCATACCTTCCTCTATGGTTCTTTTGATTATTAACTGTTACATGAAAGAACAAATGTACAAACATGTATGATCTGAGATTTTTCTATGTTCATTGTAATTCATGAAATGTTTTGTATTGTACGTAGATCTTGCTTTGTATTACATACTGTGATAATTCTTTTGTAATGTGAATTTTATGAGGAAGGAAATCTCCGGAACAGGTTCCATGCAGTGTGTGTGTGTTGTGTGTGTGAAAGGGTGTGTGGTGTGGGTGGGCTAGAGGGAGGGGGGTGTCATGAGTTTGTTGGTGTGAGAGTGTGTAACAGGATGGTACTATGTAACTTTAAACCTTCTACTGTTATTTTGATTATACACTGTTACATGCAAGAAAAAAAGGTAGAATCATGTATAATCTGAGATTTTTTCTATGTTCATTGATTGATGTAACTCATGAAATGTCTCGTATCAAAGATCTTGTTTTATAATGCTTATTTTTATAATTTTTTGTTATGTAAATTTCTTGTTATGTGAAATTATGAGGAAGGAAATAAAATATCATTAAAAAAAATAAAAATGACGAGACTGTGTGTCTTGGCCCCTACTCGGGGCCCAATCGGTTATACGACTACGGACGGCGCGACCGCAGCATTCACGTGCGTGCAACATACGCGAAACCGAAGCGGGAGGAGAACTTCGGTCTGTTTCGCGAACGCTAGCGCGCACTGACCATGTAGAGATTAAGTCGCCGACTACCGTTAATCAAGTCCATTCGTTTACGTGCAGTTTTCCAAAAATAGACGTAGATGGTTAACCAGTATTTGTCATGCTATCAAAAGGTATTTTTGATAGGCAATATACAGACGAAAATAGTAATGTATGCGGACGACTGTTCAATTCTTTTGAAAGACACAGAAGACATGAAAATCTTAGAAAAAATATTAGATTCCTTTTCTCAGGTATCTGGATTAAAAATCAATAGGGACAAAACACAAATTATGAAGCTTGGTTCTTCTGGTCACAGTAATGAAAATTTGACCGGTATAACATTGGGTAAGATGGTTTCTCTGGTAAAATTTCTTGGAATATACTTTTATTTGGATATTAATGTTAAAGGAGAAATGAATTATAAGGAAATACTGAGCAAAATAAAAAGATTGTTAGGGTGGTGGAAGCAACGGGATTTAACACTTTTTGGGAAAATTCAATTGGTTAAAGTTTTTGCAATCTCTAAATTACTATATGTGTCTTCTATAATTTCGGTACCACCAAGTGTTTTCAAGGAAGTTGAAAAGATATGTTTTAATTTTATATGGAATTGACATGATAAGATAAAAAGGAATATTTTATATTTGAACTATGATAAAGGGGGTTTGAAAATGCTGAATTTCAAGTACATGATCTATGCACAGCGTGTAGTGTGGATTAAGAAACTGATTGGTGGAAATAATGACATGAAATGGAAACAATTTTTCGAATATATATTCAGAACGGTAGGAAGAAAGTTAATATTTCTTTGCAATTATAATCCCAAAACAATCAACATTAAGGCACCCAATATATACTTGGATTTTTTGAACATCTGGAAATATCTAAAGGAGAAGGAATATATTGTAAAAGAAACACATAATGAAAATCAAATTATCTTTAACAATACTTTTATTGAAGGTAGGATAATTCCTTTTAATGCTAAATTATTACATGTGAACATTTTTTAAGTTAAACATTAGACGGACGCAGAAGGTGATGTGAGATCAGGGGACTATTTCATAAGGAAAGGTCTTAATGTAGACGATCTGTTTTTTTCTTAATGATCTATACACCAAATTACCAGCTGCCTGGAAGATTAAGAGAATTTGCAGAGGGAGAGATGATACTCTAAATGACACTCTTGATCTTTCCAACATTAACTTTATCATTAACAAAACAGTGTATTATTTTGAGTCTGTCTCTTCCATAATGCTCTATAACATTTTTATTGCTATAATACAAGATGCATTTGTTTTTAAACATCCAGAGGTATTAGCTTTAAATCTAGATAAGTCGGAAACTACAACATGTTTCTCAATTCCCAGATTTTCCACTCTAGATGGGAAGTTAAGGGAATGTCAGTATAAACTTTTACATAACATCATATTTTGTAATGATAAATTGTATCTTTTTGGATTAACACAGTCAAATTTATGTTCCTTTTGTAGAAAAGAAGTAGAAACCTACCGTCATATCTTCTTTGAATGTTCTGAAGGGTCCAGAATATGGAATGAGATGGGAAACAGTTTAAAGATGTTTCAGTTTCTTAATATGCAATGGATTGATGTGTTGCTTGGTTTCAGAAAAAATATGAAAGATAATATATTGTTAAATCATGTATTGATTTTGGTCAAATATATGATTTACAGTAATCGTAAAAAAGGAAAGTTCCCAACTAGTAAAGAAATATGTAAGGCTGTAGAGAACTCAAAAAAAGTTAAACATGAAAAAGCAAAATTAAAGGACAAACTGCCAATACATTATCAAAAATGGGAAAATTTTACCCCTTAAGGCAGGGGAACTGATTGTATATATATATTGTAATTCCTGTTTCCTGTTCACTCCCTCACTTTCTCATCGATCCGGACACTTATCTGCTATCGTGTTTGCCTGTTTTTTTATATTTTTATTTTTTTAAATAACGGTATCGATAAAGACCTCCACTGATACAAGACCCTTATGCAGTTATAATGAAAAATGCACCATATCATTATATGTAAATATAACAAAAAAAAATTTATCATGGATTATGAAGCAGCACCTTCACCTTATACTTTTTGTTTATATAAGAAAATCTTTGTTCAGATTGCTTAATTTTACATTGAACTAATTGATTTGCTTATTATGTTGTAAAAATTGTTCCTTTGTATAATGTTGTATCCAAGTATTACCCTCACCTTTTCCCTTTTAAAGGAATTGGAGCACATTCTGTACACTTGTTTTGAATGTGTACTTTATTAGTTTGGATACAAATGGAAAATATTTTTTAAATATGTCTGTGTTTATAATGCATGAGACAAGGTACTACATGTATGTTTATACTGTAAGAACAATTGTGTTCCTATTCATCATTTTGTATAATTATGAAGATCTGAATAAAGGCAAAAAAGCTTTAAAAAAAAAAAAAACTCCTTTTAAATTAGGACGCCCAGCGAAAAACAAAAATGGTATGGTATAATTATATGACAGAAAACTCAATTGATGTTTCTAGGGGCAAACAAAATGTTTTGAAAGTTTGATGCGACCAGCTCACTCAATATATAAGATGCATATATCAAGTGCCCCTGTTAAAAAATTGAACCTTGAACATTGAATTGCACAACAAATTCGGGGTCTGACCATTTGACCAAAGGTCCACGAGACCAAAAATCCGCGAGGCCTATTTTCCCCTCAGTTTTGTTTTATCCCCCCCCTCATATTTGTGTCCTTTCTCTGCATGTCTCCATGTAAATTAACGTCAATGCAACCCCACCTCCCCCCCCCTCCCACTGAAAAACGTCCCGCTACCCTAAACTTCATGTTTAAATATTAATTATAATTAGATTCTTACATTTCGCATTATACTAAAATACTACTTTAAAACATTAGAGGTCTTTAGTCTCGCGGGCCTTCGGTCAACTGGGCATGAACTACGAATTCGTATGCATAAGAGCATGGCAAGATTATGCTGTGACCTTGAGAACCGACAGAGAAGTTATTGTCTTATCCCCAAATGCAAATGGAGGCAATTCTTAAAGCGACTGGTTAACAAATTGTCCTTCACCGACGTAAATAAACACTGATTAATAGTAGTGTGTCGAATAATAGAGATGAAAACAAATCATGGGTCACACATACTCGGAGGGGGGTTCGAACCCACGACCTCCTGATCTCTAGACAGGCGTCCTATTCACTAGACTACTGAGCTTTCGCCCGTGGGTTCTGTTGGTTCTAATCCCTTGTATCAGCGGGTATCGCATATTTATTCAAATGAATGAATCTTGCGTCGGGTTGTTTTTATTGCATTTGGTCAACAAATTGGCCTTCACCGACGTAAATAAACACCGATTAACAGTGTGTTGAGTAATGAACGAGATGGAACAGATTGCTAAAGTATATTAGTAAAGATATTAGTATATGTTTAAAATATACATATATATATATATATATATATATTGACAACAGTCATAATACATCAACCATTAAATCTGCATTTCAAAATCATCTTTATACCAGCCGTAGAATATCTCTAAGCCAAGTTTGAAGAAAATCCATTCAGCCGTTCTTATCGCGTGTACGCACGTAACTGAGGACCGTCCAGACAAATTTTTCACCGGGCATCCTAATTTAATGATAACACCATCTTCGGCTGGTAGCAAGTAAGTAGGGGAAGGTAGCGCTGGTGTGGTGGAGATCAAAATTAAATAGGCCAGATTCTGGACTATTTCTGGCTCGGCTCTCTCAAAATGTTTGGCTCATTACGCTAATGAGCGTGTGTGTTTGTCAACTAGAATTGCGGTAGGAGAAGTGCAGGGACCCGAGTGGAAAATAGCCTACGTCCTTTAGTGCGTGAAGTGTTGATTACAGCCAGTATAAACTTATACTAATGGAAAATCGTCAATAAATGTTAAACTAAACAAACAAAAAGGATAATGAAGAAGAATAAACATAAAAAAACAACAAAAAAAATAGTGAAATTTATTTCTTCATTCGAGGCTGGCAACGAATTTGGCTGAAGTTCACATTTTCCATCGATTGTCCCAAGCGCCGCCACATTGTGACAAATTAAGAGAAAAATTACATGGTAAAATACATATTAATGATAAATAAAAAGGAAAAGAAAGAGGAGAGCAAGACCCTTTTACAAGCCTTGCATAATGCTTTGATTTCCTACCTTTGTGGAAAGCAGTGACGACATTATGAGTGTAATAACCAAATTTTTTTGATGAATGTAATGTTTAAATGTTATTATTAAGCAACAAATATGAGTATGCATCGATTAAGAAATAATGAAAACTATGATTCAAGATTCATTGATGTAATACAATAACCAGGCCCCTCATCTCTGATACCTTGGACTGTGAAGCTGCAGCAGACATTCCTGTGTAGAATTCATCATCCAGACACCGCAACATAATGTCCAAGTGTCGTAAGTCCTGTAATGTGAAGAGACCTACTGCTGCTTCATGTGACGATGATGCGTTAGCTTCCAAGGACCTGCTAACACCCAATGATTCACGAATCGAGGAACTTCTTCTTACCTGTACAACAAATATAAAGTTAGCTTTCGATCTATTAATTTTATTTCCGAAATAAATGTTCTTAAAAGTAGTTTTGCGTGTGTCCATTTGTAGTATACAGTTATACAAATATACAATGGTGTATATTATCTTCACCACACACAGATGGCGTGGATGTGTGTAAATACCTAGGATACAAATATACCAAGACCAAGAAAAAAATCAAACGTTTGAAAAATACAAATTGAATCAAATTCGAGTTATACATAATCATAATGTGAGTGTTAGAAGTATATGAACAAACGATAACGATTATAAAGGCATGTTCAAAATATAACATGACCTACATCAGATATTAGTTTGTTTGGTTGGTTGACCTATTTCCCATGAAGGATGTGAGCGTAGGCGTGTGTCCGTGTGTGTTTCATTCCTTAGTCTTTGTTTGATTCTAAAATTGCCATGTACTATTGTTTTCCTTCCTTTCTTTTTTAAAGAAAGTCAAGCTTTACACTTATATGAGGAAGAGGCAAACGATGGTATGACCCTCGCTTTTGTATGAGACTATAATTACACCATGCAGCCTGCTCTATTAATGCCCAATAACAACAGAAGAACATGGAAGGTTATATATGATTATCGGTCAGTAGAATAGAAAAACAGACAATACATTGTGTAGGTCTCTTGTATTTGTTTTTTTCTTTGTAGCAAAAACTCAATGTGATAACATTTCACAACTAGATAAACGAAAATGAGATAAGTCTATAATTCTATTCACAGAACTTACTACTTCTTTCCCCATTGTCTCCAGTGTGAATGCAAGTGTGGTGAATGGAATATGACGAAATAATACAAGATGTGCCTTCGTCTTCAAAAGATTCCTGAAGGGATCAATGGCTTCTGAATCATGACATTCAAAAGCAGCCCGAATGATGAATTCCATGTCATCAACTTTCTTGCACAGAGCTTCCAGTACCGACTTTCCTACTTCACCTCCATGAGCTGCAGTGAAGTACAAGACGTATTTGAACGCCCTGTAGTCCTTTATCAGCTTGTGTGTCAGGATTCTGTTGAATTCCGAACGACTGTGGTTATACAGCGATGCAATGTAGAGGCTTGCGGAGTGTTCCTGCAGAAGCTTGTGAGGGAAAGAGAATTCTTGGATAAATTGCTTTCTATCTCGTTGTCTGATTTTTCTTGAGGCCAACCTCTTTTCCCCACTCAGAATCCCAACATGACATGCTATTGCTGCAAACCCATCGCAGGCTTTCATTTCATCTTTGGTGAAGATGAACTGATTTTTCAGCAACCCCTCGAAGGCCACACAACCAACCTTTACAATGGCTTCAGCAGCTTTCTCCATATGGCATTGATACCCTTCCTCATTGTCAGTGTATCTTGAAGAATATTGCTCCCGAAGAGCAAAATCCATCTCTTTCATTAGTTGGGAGACTGCTTGTAGATTCTCAGTTGTTTCGCGCTTAGATCCGACTTTCCACATGTAACAAAGCATACAGCAAAAGATTGGGAATGGTGCCATATACTCAGAAACTACACTGTTAGTGTTCATGAAGTGGATGAGACTGGATGCAGAAGCTCTGTCATTGTTGAAATACTGTTTGATGTATTTATTTCTGTTTTCTTTCGTAAAACCCTTGACCTGTATATAGCAGTACTTTTCATGGATTTTCTGAATGCTCTTGATTTGATCAGCTCCAAAAGGACGTGTACTAATGAGAACGGATGTGTCGATGAAGCTCTCCCTTCTTACGATCGAGACGATAGCAAGCTTACGGTTTGGATTTTTTATGTCCATTTTAGCCTCGTCCATTCCGTCCAGTAAGATCAGAACTTTCCTTTGATTCTCCTTGATGTATTTATCAATCCATTCCCCTATAATCTCTGTGTCATCTGGGAAATGATTCATAACGATATTACCAAAGAAGGGACTATCTTCTATGTCTCGAAATGATTCGTGAAATAGAACAGTGATATCTTGGAGACATTTACCCATCGCCCAATCGAGGGCTATTTTTGCAAACAATGTCGATTTGCCCACACCAGCTTCTCCAAGGAAGGCTACCCGTGTTATGAATCCTTTCTTAGTTTTTGTTTGAATGAAACTGAACAGATTCTCGTATTCAATTGGTTGTTCCTGATCGCCAATACATCCTAACATTAAGATGAGACTGACGAAGATATGCTGCAGCCATGTGCGTGATTCGGGGTCCATAGGAGATACTTTGACCTCGCTAAATTCCTCGATATATCTAGCCCTCAACTTCGTTCTTAATCGTTGTACATGGTCAGGCATCTCGCCATGTTTACCTGTAAAAAGAGAGAGGACCAGAACAAGATGCAGAAGGGTCTGAGGGTGATGGGTCAGATATTAACAACATTTAAACATCACCGGCATGCGGGGGGGTGGGGTGGCTTGGGGCTACATCTAGACAAATATTTTCCCTTAAAAAAGGCACAAAACGGTGAAATAAGACAAGAGCTTTTCTCTACCCCAATTGGGGTGCCAGATGGATATTTGCTAGATCTGCCGGAGGAAGAACATGCCTTGATCTTCTGCACAATATTGTAGGCCAGCTGACGTATTATATGATTGTACGCTTGTCAAGCTTGAAATGCTCGCCCTACACTCTGCCTATGCTCATACGAAACTCGCCGTAAGTCCCCGTACTCGTACTAAACTCGCGTAAATCTCGTGGGCAACTCAGTATGACTCGGCTTGACTCGCAGCACGATCGTAGTGCTCGTACTTCACTCTTGGAAACTCGAATATCACTCGCGTATACTTAAAGTTGGCGGGTTGATAGGAGTTATGAAGAGTGCAGTGCGAGCTTGTTACGAGTAATGCGAGTATATTATGAGTGTAAGCGAGTTCAACTCGAGTAACAAACAGTCAGTACAATTTTTGAACTGCTCGCGACTTCGAGGAGAGTCGTGGAATGTTATAAGGAGTTACGCCTAGCCATACCGAGTTGTCGCGAGTTATCCCGAGTTACAAGAAGAGCTTTTCGCGAGATATTGCGAGTGCAACTCACAACAACTCGCCATAACTCGCTAATACAACTCGCGCGCGGCTAAGTTGGAGCTCTGCTTAAAGATTTCAGCCCCCTTTCATTGCTGCAGCCTAAATTTGGCAAACGAGGATTGTGACCAGTAGCGTACACAGGATTTTTTTCGAGGGGGGGGGGGGGGTGTAAGAGCACTTGTTGGGGGTCAATTTTTTAAACTTTAAAAAAAAAATTAAAATTAAGTTTAGGGGGGGGTTCCTTCAAAACACACACATAAAAAACATTTAGGGGGGCTAAACCCCAACCCCACCCTCCCTGCGTACGCGCCTGATTGTGACAATAAGTTTTGAAAGGGCTGCTGCTCAGTCACCGGTGACAGCAGACTTATGAATAAGGTTCATGTATCATTAGCTAGAATATTAGTGACTCAATAAAATTAAACTACGTTCAATTTGAAAAAGATTTACAACACCCCTCGAACATTATGCACAATATTCTTACACGGAGGGAAACATGCTCACATTTTTAGTTCGCCAAACAATGAGGGGACTTTTGATTCCAACTTTACCAAATACTCTAACCTTTTTAATGCGGATCTTCAATAACAAACAAAAAATCACCTTTTCTTGGCAGACAAGTCTCCTTTATTTCTTTCAAGCCCACCGCCTGTAGAGCAGCTCTAAGAATGGAAAGTTGATTTGATGGCTTGACCGTCTCTGCCCAATTTTGTAGCATCATCACATTACCATTACTGGTCTTTATACCTCCAGCCCAATTTGTCTGCAATGCCCGGTTGATATCAGGAGTCTGGACTCCCAGCTCAAGACCAAGTCTCCTTAAATCAACATCTTCTGATATAGCGTTTGCTACTTTCATGATGACGTCATCAAATCCGCATGTTTTACTCGACGTTTGACCACTAAAATATAAAGAAATTAAACGAAATCATTTCTTACAGAGCACACTTAAAGTTATATTACACATTTATTCAAGCGGTTCTCAAGTATTCCTTTGACAAATCACGATAAATTCTTGTCAATTTTCAATTCCTCCTGTTTATTTTTTCGCTCAAATTCATTGTATGAAACCAATCCTTTACTATGTTTATATATATATATATATATATATATATATATATATATATATATATAATTACTACATGTACCTGTAGTTCACATACTTTTGAGGTAATGAATATCACTCAGTCATATTGCATGTGTGCCACTGTCCAATGATATGTGTACCATCCAATGATAATTATAAATAAATAAGTGTTTGTTTTATCTTTCTTTAATAAAATCATCTTTATTCAATATTGCTTTCGACTTTGCAAAACATAACAAAACATATATGAATATCCATACATAATATAACCAATAGAATCAACAGCAAGAATATAGCTGATTATACAAGACATGGTGGTACATTTTTTAAATATTTTTTTAAAGCAACACAATGTTTTTCCACCTATTATCAAATGATACAAATTTGTTATTTTTAACATCAATGTATTGTTCAAGAGAACGGTAATACGAATTAGTGAGAGTATGCTATTTTTGCATTTGTTGGAAAATATATAGTATTTGGCATATAAAATAATAAAATTAAATTGGACTCCAACGTTTCCATAAAACCCAAATAAGAAATTAATTTTATTCAAAGTAACTTTATCCTCTAAAATTAAATGTTGGACATCCGCAATAAACCTTCTAATTGATTGATTGATTGATTTTATTTCATTTCAAATTACAATTGTTTGCACAATAAAGAACATAGTTGACAAAGTATGATCAAAATTATGAAATGAAACAGGAACCTACTGGAAAGCATAGCTTGTTTTTGTAGCTTCCCAAGAATAAATACAATATAAACATTATTTTGCTAAATCATTTTAAAGTGTCTTAATAATCACAGTGAAATAGATATAAATAACATATGATTGGGCAATCCCAAAATAAATGTTCTATAGATTCCACGAAGCTATAACAAAATGAACATAAGTCTGACTGCGAAATATTTAATAATTTAAGAAATTTATTAACACCAACTATACGATGTATTATCTTAAACTGAAAATAACGTGTTTATTATTCTTTGATATATATTTTGATTTTGTCATATATACACGAAACATGATTTTACCTTGAACTTGGCGTTTCATCCCTCGTGGATCCAGTCACCTCTTCACTTCTCTCCAAATGTCTCTTTTCCATCGTGAATGTTATTCAGGCTGAAGAGAGATGTAGAAACAGAATAAGAAATAAACACAAACACGCAAAAACTGTTGGGTTTACCCTTATAATAGCGATGTTGCGGGGTCGAGTACGAACTGTAGTTTCAACTATACTATTAAATTTTTTCAGGATTACGAAGTATTAGAATTGTCTTTCAGCTTGGTAATAAAATGAAGAACAGAAATGGCATGAGGTTGTCAAAAGTGATCAACAAAATGGTAAGGGAAAATCAATAGACACGATTTATTTTCTCACTAAGAATGTGCCGTACTACGAAACAGCCCTATAATTATATACATGTATATGGTCACATACCATTTCCATACTGATTTCACAGTTCACATAACCTTGCTTTCAATCACCTTTTTGAACTGACTCTTATCATATTTTTAGACACCTACGTATTATAAGTCATTCAGGCTTTCCAGTACATACATGTATATAATATTGTACTCTAACAACATTTTAAAGATACATGATCTGTTTTCAGATAGTTTTGCGATTTTTATGTGTTTGTTGTTGTTGTTTTTATTTCTGAAATCAGATAAAAATATTATACAAAGAAAATATTCAAATGAAATATTAATACATGTACAATAGATAACAATCGGTGGAAAGCCCAATTCAGCAATGGTTATAGAACATTACTTCCTTGGGGTCCTCACACTACAATATTTACATAAAACTGTACATAAAACAGAGTGTTCGCTCAGTAGAAATGAGTTGGTGAAAGTTATTTTCACTATCTCTAAGAAAAAATACAAAATAACACAGCTACCCACCAAGGTGCGGCAGGCTCATATTACCTTCCAAAATTATGAAACCTACTTGCTAATACAATTTCAGGTGGGGGGGGGGGGGATGGCCTGTACAATCATCCCCCCCCCCCAATAATTCACCATCACAAAAAAAAAATGAAGAGAAAAATTAATGATGAGAGCCCGATGAGAGTAGTTAATGTTTATTACTCGCAATATACCATCAATGACCATCAATATACACATTTTGTTATCTCATTTTCATAATACATACATATATAACTAGAAAACGAAGTAAATGAGACAAACGTATATGAGACAAGAATTAATTGAATTCTCGCTCATACGGTTTCATCAGGAATTGATGGATTTATTCAATTCATTCAATCAACAGCATCATAGAAATGCAGTGCGCCAAATGCAAAGCCGTAGCGTTAAAAAACAATGAGCTAAATGTTAAGCGCGAAGCTCAAATGTGCCAAAAAGAAGTAGAGAGTGGAAGAGAGAGAGAGATAATGAAAGACAGAGAGGATATAGGCGCGTAGCCAGGGGGGCGGGGGCGGTGAATTAAGAGTCGAGAACGGTACAACGAATCGTCTTGTTTCTCTAATAATTTAATGAAACGTCAAAGCTAGCGGGAGGGGGGAAACTGAATTCAGACAAGGATTAAGAGTCGAGAACGGTACAACCAATCGACTTCTTTCTTTAATAATTTAATGAAATGTCAAAGCTTTCGTGTTTCGCGCGGGAGAGTGAATTAAGACTTTGATTAAGAGTCAAGAATGTTACAACGAATCGTCTTCTTTCTTTAATAATTTAATGAAACGTCAGAGCTTCCGCGCTACGCGCGGAGGAAGGGGAACTTGATTCAAACAAGGATTAAGAGTCGAGAATGGTACAACGAATCGTCTTCTTTCTTTAATAATTTAATGAAACTTCAAAGCTTCCGCGCTTCGCGCGGAGGAAGGGGAACTTGATTCAAACAAGGATTAAAAGTCGAGAACGGTACAACGAATCGTCTTCTTTTCCCCTAATAATTTAATGAAACGTCAGAGCTCACTACTGCCCCCCTAAAATAAAATCCTGGTTACGCGCTTGAGAGGATAATAACCCAGGTAGCAAGCCCATGTGGGCCCCACATGGGTCCCATATTCTCTGAAATGTTATCTTTATTGAAGGTGACTTGAAAAAGTTAATAACTTGGAAGGGAGGGGTACAACCTGCCACACGCTTCTACCTCTTGGTTGCTTTGATCCATTGCCGAAAATATTTTGGCACCTATCATCCCCCCCCCCCCAACCAGGGATACAAATCGACACCCCTGACACACTCAATATACCATTTATATGCATCATTTCATTTGCACATGTTTGGTTTGTCGGCCATTTTCATTGGACAGGAGAAAATCAAGCTAATAAAGGAAAGTTTCTTTGTTTGCAGATAAATGATACGGTAAACAATTTGTACACTAGATGATAAGAATTAAGAAACTGCGTAATAATAAAAAAGTAGTGGGATTCACATCTGGCAATTATCGGTTTTGGAATCAGCGCCCTCGATTTGCCCCAAAACATCAAGCATCATTGATGTCCCGTAGAATACGTTTTCGTGATTTGGCGGCCATTTTGAATTTTCATCTTTTGCGTAAAATGCTAAAGGCTAGGCGAATGGCACTCATCCGATTTGGAATCAGCACCCTCAAATTGACAAGAAAACATAAAATAATCTGTTAATTGGCCAAAGAATAAGCATTTTCATGATTTGGCGGCCATTTTGGCGGCCATTTTGAATTTTCGCCGTTTACGCGAAATGCTCAAGGTTTCGCGTCTGGCATTCATCGGATTTGGAATCAGCACCCTCGAATTGACAAGAAACCATCAAAAAAACATGTTAAATGACCAAAGAATAAGCATTTTCATGACTTGGCGGCCATTTTGAATTTTCGCCGTTTACGCGAAATGCTCAAGGTTTCGCGTCCGGCAATCATCGGATTTGGAATCAGCATCCTCGAATTGACAAGAAAACTTAAAAAAAAACATGTTAAATGGCCAAAGAATAAGCATTTTCATGATTTGGCGACCATTTTGGCGCCCATTTTGAATTTTCGCCATTTACGCGAAATGCTCACGGTTTCGCGTCTGGCACTCATCGGATTTGGAATCAGCACCCTCGAATTGACAAGAAAGCATCAAAAAAACATTGTATATATAACAAAACAAGGTTCCTTGCTCTCTAGCTTGGATTTTTTTTTTTTTTTTTTTTTTTTTTTTTTTTGGGGGGGGCCTAATTCGTGAGAAAATTATTCTTTCTTTGACCAGGGGGGAGCAGGCCCGTCGCCCCCCCCCCTCCCCCGTGGATCCGCGCCTGCCCTCGGGGGTAGTTGTCTGGGTGGTAGTCGTCCGGGGGGGTAGTTGTTCCGAGGGGTGGTCGTCCTAGAGGGTGGTTGCCCTAGGGGGTAGTTGTCTTAGAGGGTAGTTGGATGGGGGTGGTTATCCGGGGGTGGATATCCAGGGGGTAGGCGTCCTAGAACCATTTAGAAGACATGCTCACGCTTCCGTCCACTCAAATTATACTCCATGAATATACAATATGATTCCATTACTGTCTTTGATGTCTTTCCTCCTCCCGCTACACGAAAGGGTTGGGATACGTCACTAATGACCTACCTATCACGCTTGATAAAGATTATCCGTTTAACCGTTATCCCTTCTTTCCGACAATATCAAGTGCCCATGGTGTCGGTTGCACGTACACCTCCAGAGTCTGCATTTAGTTTTTATTGTATTATATCGATTTTTTTTCCTGGGATCGACACCCATGGAGTGTGTGCTTTATCTAGATGTTACTCAAACAAGTTTAAATGCAATACTAGATTTCCATGCAAGGTTAGTCTTATTATGGGTAGCTTAACCATTGTGAGCATCGGATGGTTTATTATTCAAGGGTCAACAATTTTGATTTAGCTTAAGACAGAAATCCAGTACTTCAACTACAGTATTCTGGAAAACGCGAGTGATAATAACAGCAAATTGTATCTATCCGCGTTGTCCGATATATCAGTTGTGTTGCTCTAACACCTGCATTTTTGCAGTGGATCCGTTACAACGAACCCGGCAGGCTAGCTAGAAAACAACAAAGTATACTTTGTGTAATGGGAAGCTTATATATGAATAAAATAATGAAAACATGGATATATGATATAGATATTCATTGTCAACCATTTCCTTGTCCATTATAGACAATCATTTACCATCATTGAAGTCTTTTACGTTTTAACACCTAATAACAGCGCCGAACAATGTCAAATCGCACTAGTCTTCACAACTGCTAATGTCAATGTCACTGTCACTCTCTTCTGATGTCTTATTCATTGGATTTTGGCAATGGACATCGCCCTTTATACAGTGGCAGAATTCCGAGCATGCCAGTGAAGATTTCGTGCAGCTGCACTGGGCTGTTCTGCAGCCGCTCCTACACCCACACTTAATGATATTGAGGACTCTTCCGCTGCGACTGGCTGATCATTTTCAAAATGTACAGGTTGAATCATAGAAGACTTCTTCCTCCATCCATTCTTCAATGGGTCTATAGGCTGGCAGGGCTGGGGTACTGGCTTACCAGCAGCCACACACAACGCCACTTGATAATGGGCACGCTGGTAATCTGACTGAAAAGCGGCCATAGTTGGTGGAAGACTCATCAATTTGGAAGGGACTAGGCGCTTGCCACCAGCCTTCCTTGCGAAAATGATCCTTCGCATTGTGTCAAGAGAATCATTTTGTTCCTCTCCTTAAATGGATGCTATGTATGTCAAGCAGGATTCTATTACTTCATCGAGAAAGATTTCAGTATATTCCCAAGGAGTAGAGAATCAGGATAGCTAGGGCTCCAAATTCTTCAGTGCAGAAGCCTTTCCTACTACGTATAAACAGGAAAGAGTCACATATACCTAGACAATGTATGGGCTCAAAGTAGATTGGGCATGATTTTATTGTGTTCCCTGTTAACCTCATTGATATATATGACTGATCGAGCGTGAGATGTTGATTCCATTAAAACCTTTGTTGTGTGTGGAATGCCATTAGTTTGGAAATGTAGATGGTGTGCCAGAATGGACAATATATCTGTGCCATCGCACACAACTTTGATAGGCGAGCGACCATTCTTAGCCTACTTTATCATGTGGTAGGCCATTATTACATCTGCTTCTTCTTCAAGTGC